TGATCACTAAATTATCAGGGACCCTTGAGCTCCTAAAAAGGACAAAGCACCTCTTAAAATCAAGGGTTTAATATCCTTTCCCCTAAATATTAATACATGACATAAGCTTCAAGTGGAACATAGAATTTCAAAGAAAGACAAACTTGCATCTCCTCCATAGCCTTTTTTTTTGTCACATCAGTTTTCTTGTTTTTTTTTTGCATTTTTAACTTTGAATCTGATTCTTGAAGAGTGCAAGTTTGGGTCTTAATGTGTGCCTTGGTCATTTCTAAGCTTATAAAGAAAAAAAAACATGAACTTGTCTTATTTCAATTACATGCTCTTCTGTCTTTCATGTTTTAAATGCGGTTAAGAAGGAAGAGCATCTATCTTAAGCTATATTTTGAACTCGGGCAAACAGGAAGTCAAACATGCATCAGCTGCATTCATCTTTTAGTAACAAATGTAGCAAGTTGCTTCCCCCCCAAAAAAATTAAGATTTCTCTAAAATGTGAGACATGCTTCTGCAGTAAAAATAAATCTGTGTAAAACACCTCTGCAATGAGGCCATTTCTAGATTCATAAAACATAACTGAAAAATTAGTGTCAGACCTTATGCTACCCATCCAGCCGTTGTATAGCTGCTTATTGATGGAGAGGGAATGGTGCCTTGATGAGAGATGGGGGTTCTCCCAGGATACGTCACCATTGTATCACAGAGCAACAGATAAACAATAGAAAAACACTCAATCATACCTAAAGACAGAGACCTATATCCACCTAACAACTGTGTTTTCAGATGGTGGTTAGAAGCTACACTAACTGGAGGCAACATTGGTGCACAGGAAGAACACGGCAACTCTATTCAGAAAGAGTCAAGGCCAGAATATAAACTCAGGATCTTCATGCTGCAGGAACCAGCTCAGCTCCAACACCTGCTCTGCTGCTCTTTCCACATTAATGAAATGAATAATCACATTGAAACTAGGACAAGGGATTAAAAGCATTACTTAGAAATGTGTTATATTGTAGTGTGTCATCTTTGAAAGAGAATTTTTTTTTTGCCTGAAAGAAGTGAATTGATACTTGATGCTAGAGATCTTTGAACTTCAATGTACCAAAGAACAGTCCACAGGAATCTCAGTAGAACAATTCATTTCTCAGTAAAAGATCAAAATTAGGTCATTATACAGTAAATAAAAATACAAGATTTTCATAAAAGCTAAATGCAGATTTTTATTATGGACTCCCAATTAGCAGCATGCAATAATTACTGGAACATTTTGTTTTTATGATGTAAATAAGGGGGGAAAAAAGAAATGTTATGGTTCAAATGTTTTATTTTCTTAGTAGTTCCAATCTTTTTTTTTTTTTTTTTTTCAAATGTTTTATTTTCTTAGTAGTTCCAATCTTTTTTTTTTTTTTTTTTACATAAAGCTTGTCACAAAAGAAAACATACATTCATTGGGCAGAACGATAGATGGTAGAAATTTCACTTTAGCAAAGGTTCTTTTTAATTGAGAGAAAAAAGGAAGCTGGGGTCACCTTACCTACAAACAGCAAGGATCTGCAAAAGAGTCGATAACGTAAAAGCAGGTTGACAATAAGCAGAAAACGAGACAGATATATTTTTTAACGGTTGCCTAATTATTCAATTCGTATTGAATGACAGGAATCATAAAGATTATGAAATAAGGTGAATTCAAGATGATCATAGAAAGGGAGACCGTTGATTCCTTTTGTTCAATTTTGTTGTTAAAAAAGAAAAAAAGGCCTGAAAGTCACTTTTGCTGCAGCCTGGCAGCTTTGAACTTGGACACTCTTTTAGGCGCCTGCTCAGGCGGAGGGACATCAGGTGCAACTTCCTCCTGCTTCCTTTCCAGAATGGTTGGCAAAGCAGGTGGGACGATGGTCAGGTGGGGCACACCTGAAGGCATGGGGTCCTTTTCTACCACCAAACCTGAAAAAGCCTGAAAGACAGATTCGTCAAAAGACAGAACTGGACATTTACTCCAATGTAAATATTGAGAGGGTAATAAACCGGCTGGCAGAGACAGGGAAATATTACAAAACAGAACACTAACTTCAAATCTGCTGGGAGTTTGCAGAGGCACCGCTGTTGGACTGTCCTCCTCGGTGATACCGTCGCTGGTGTCGCTGTGTGTCAACTCATCGTGGCTGAAGCTGCGTCCGATCATCCTGCGCTCCTCGAAGTCGGCAGCGCTGCTCTCGCTTGTGTCGCTGCACACACTGTTCTCTCGACTCCGTGACTTCAGGATGGACTTTCTCGGGATGGGTTCGCCATTCTTCACATCCACAAACAACCTGACCCAAAAGCAACAGTCAAGATTCAGCAGATTGTGTCGCACACAAGGATAGGATGCAATACCTTGTAGTGGGATTTAGTGCTTTGATTTTTATTTTGGGCACATTAAAAACAGACATTTGTATTTTTCTGGGATTTTATAATTGATGAAAACAAACTGGTGCTAAATTGCTTGGAAGGGAAAAAAAAAAACATTTGCATTTTCCTTCCATCCTCTTTGCAATTTGCTGTTTTAAATCCCCCCAAAAATGTGCAAAACTTTGTATTTTTTAGCTCAAAAAGTTTTAAAAGATAAAGTATGAATATTCCTAGCACCGGAGTAAACAGTCTTCATCATTAAAACTAAAACTTTGCTTTTTACCTGTAAATATCAGCTGGTGTGGTAATTCTGTGAAGCTCGTGATGGGAGGGGCCATTACTGTGGCCGTTTTTCTTTTTCCTCTTTGAATTCTCCTTTTGCTCTTTTCTTTCACTGAACTTTAATGTGGTGTTTTTCCCCGTGTTTATCCTCACCTGAAGTGAACGAAACAGACATGTTGGAACAAATCTAAATAAAACCACTTTTTTCACGCTCATCTTGAATGTTTATTTTAAAGCTGACCTTTTTGGGTTCAACCATGTGAGAGAAGAAGATAGTGGGCAAACAGCTGCCATCCTCCTCTTCCCTTTTCCTGTCTGTGAGAGGCTGTACACCATGAGGCACAGAGCTCCAGCTTGGCTTCAAGCTCGAACCATTAACCGGAGGAGCAGCATCTGTCTCCTTCTCCTCCTCCGATGAAGATGATGATTCTTCACCATTCACCTCCGCGTTATCAGAAAATCTGGAGAGGAAGAATGTTTACAACACGTAAGATTTGTTAAACAAACTGCAGTTTATGAAACTAATAAGTAGGGTTGGGCGATATGATATTAGATTGGGAAGGATTACATTTAAGAAATCTGTAAACACAGAATATTTAATCTATTAACTGTTACACAAAGTGAAGGCTTTATTTTGAAAAGAGTGTCACTGCTGTTAATTTATCTGCAATGATTGGTTGAATCTGTAGCTAACGAGGCTTTATATATGACAGATCTCGTTTTAAACCGATGG